ATCCAGGGTCTAGAGAAGGAGAAGGCGCGCATACAAGATCTCCAGCAACAACTCCTAGCCAAGCTGGACGAGCTGGAAAAGGAAGACAAGAAGCACATCACGAGCGACGACATCCACGAAGGCTTCAGTTATTCCAACGTCAAGAAAGCCGAAGAAGAGAAGAAGAAAGCCGCCTCATCCTCCTCGTCATCGAAGAAAGAGCCCGCCGTCGAGCTCCTCAACAACCCCTCCCGCCCCTCCGCCACCCGAACAGACACAGGCCAGTCCTCCGGCGCAGACGGCGACATAGAAGAAGGCAGCGTCGTCGAGCCCACCGGCGCCGATTCCGACAACGAAGAAGATATCACCGCCTCACCCCTCGCCCAGCAATTCGCCAAAATAAAAGCCGGAGATTGGTACGCCTGCCTCCAATTCCTCATGGCCCACCCCGAGATCCTCGCCGAGAAAGAAACCGACGGCCTCCTCGTCGAAGCCTTCAACTCTGAACTTGACGGCAAGCCCAAGCACGCGCGGCAATGCGTGCACCAAGGCCTGTTGCTACAATACTGCAGGCAGTTGGGAGGCAGACAAGGCGTAGAACTCTTCTTCAAACGCATACAAATAAAAGACCACCAAGCCGGCAAAATGTTCAACGACGACGTCGACTCCACATACCACCGCATCAAGACGCGCGCCGCGGAGATCCTAAAAGAACGAGCCGAGAACCCTCAAGGCGAAGGCGCAGGCGTCGAGCAAATTCAACTCCACGCCGTAGACCCAGGCACCCAAATCAACATTTCCGTGCCCCCCAAAGAATCCAGCGCCACGGACCCCGCAGAGAAAGAAGCAGAAGAGCAAGCGAGACAGATCTTCGAGTCGTTCCCGCCGGGTCTGCAGCGTGCGTTGGAGAGTGGGAAGCTGGATGAGGTGAACAAGGTGCTGGCGAAGATGAGTGTGGATGAAGCGGAGGAGGTGGTTGAGAAATTGGGCCAAGGGGGGATGTTGAGTTTGGAAGAGGGGGTGATTGATGCGACGACCGAGGAGGGACAGAGGGTTATGGGCGAGATTGAGAAGAATAGGAAGATGCCGGGCCAGGCACAGGCGCAAGAGCCTAGCAGGGTTGAGGAAGTAGACTAGAGAGGTTTGAGTATATGATGGGGGGTATGAAGGATGAGAATAGAGATGGGACGGCATGACATGACATGAGATGAATGCTGTATTTGTACATTATGATTGATGATGGTATCTGAAAATTAACCGGTTTCGATGATCATTTTTTTAGTTGTGTCTCCCACTTATTCCGGTAGCTTTGCCCTGGATCACGTCCACATCTCCCTTGTTATACCTGCGAAGTTCCCACTCCGCCCATGCTCAAACCCTATACATATCGTACATCGACCCATGAACCCCAACGCCCTGCGCAAACCACACTACAAGCCATGCAGTAGTAGATGCGACTCCCGCGCCACAACATATCATTTTAGATCCATCATCCCATCTATCAACACCCCGCGGAGGGATAGCTAGAGCCACCCCTACTGGCCCAGTGCCCTCAGATCAGCTCAGCAAAGTTATCATCGATACCAGCCATATCCCTATCCCCAGCAAAAGCCGCAAAGTCATCCTCACCAGCATTCCTGCTCATCTTCCTCTTCTTATGCGCATTCTCATACGCATGATGTTGTCCGTACACACCACCTTCAGCAGCACCCATTGGCGCATGTTGCAGGCTCTTGAGCAGATCGGCGGCTATGTGCTGGTTCGGCTCGCCGATGGCGGTCGCGTATTCGGGCTGGGTGGTGTGCTGCGCGGGGGCAGGGGCGGTCTCTGGTACGACAGGCTGGGCAGCGGGTTGCGGCATTTCGTCGTCGCGGATAGTGGGCACGGGGTCGTTCTGAGGCGCGGGTGCGAGGTGTGGTGAGCCGACGGGTGTGAAGGACTCCATGGGTGGGGGCGTGAGTTCTTCGACTTCTGGTCTTTCTTGCGCGCCTGAGAATGTAGCGGCGACGGGTGAGGTCGTAGCGACTGGGAGGGGTGCGGTAGAGATTCTGTTTTGCTCTGCTGCGGACAGGCCTTTGAGGATGGCTTCCTCGACTGCGCGCTTTCGACTTTCAATGGCGTCTTTGCGCGTCTTCAGATCTGCTTCCTGCGCTTCTTCGTCGACCAGCTTCTTCCTGTTCGCCTCGAGGAGGTGCTCTAGACCGGTGAGGAGGGCCTTGCGCGCCTTGATGCTCTCGGCGACAGCGCCTTCGGCCAGCGCAAGCTTCTTGCAGAGTGCAGCGAGTCCAGCCGCGTGCATTGGCGGGGATGGGATCGCGGCATTCGGGTTGGTGAGCTTCTCGTAGTCTTGGTTGGCGGTGGTGACGGCGGGTTTCGTCGCGGCATCGGCCTTCTGGAGGGCGGTTGCGAGAGGCGCGACGGGTGTCAATTCGGGCGGGACTGACGAGCTCGAGAAGAGTGATCCACCCAGAGCAGGTTTGCGCGTAGATTTGGAGCGGTCCACCTCGTCTATTGACCTCTCAACCGCTTGCTGCACAGCCAAGTTGAAGATGTTGCGCTGCCTCCAAACCTCGACGACCCTCCGAATCTTGTTCTGTATCTCGTGGGGGGAGCCCTTGTAGGCTACCGTCGTCGCTTCGGCGAGAATGGGTTCGTATGCACGCAGGAACTCCTCCTTCTTGCGCATCTTGGAGGTTTGTGTAATTTCGTTGGCGAGATAGATGAGCACCAGTTTCTTATTCGGAGGCGACTCCTTCATGCGCTGTAGCCATACATGAGCGATGCGCTCGGCATGTCGTCTGTACACGTGACGTTAGTATATGGTTCCAAAGTGCATGACAAAACCCGCAATCCATGGATTCAACGCGTGATGCATGCAGCAAACTGGGGTCTTGGCAGAGATGGGATGCTTTACCTGTGGAAGAGGATCCATTGGCCGACCGTGGAGATGGCCTCTTGGGTCTCATTGAGCGATGAGAGCTTGGCCTTGAGGCTGTCCTCGGTGAAAGCCATGATGGCCCTGGAGGTCTTCACGAATATATGCGACAGCTACTGAAGAATGATGCGCACGCGAGCAGAAGACAATCACCCTGCGGAAGTGCGCGTAATGGCAACAGATGAGACGTAACCTTCAGCGTGCGATATGCGCTCTGCAAGTGTTCGCGACTACAGTGTCCAGATGATGACGTGTGTTGGAGATGGAATGGGTGGAAGAGTTCAAGGTGAGGGAGCACTTGAGAGCTAGAGACGCTAGGTGGTATGCGGCTAAACGTGGCTCCGCCGCGCCAAGCAGCTCCCTGGCTGGCCGTCACCAACGGTAACTATCCAAGACGCAACAACAAGACACTTGTACGCAAACTGCTGTCGCCAAACTTATCTCCGCTCCTCCCACTACATCTCCCACACTCTCCACACTCACAATGGCAGACCGATTCCCCTCATTAGACGAGATTGACGCCGGTGAGCTCAGCTATGGTCCCCGAAGCACCTCCGCACCGCATACTAAACCAAGCAGGCCAGACCGAAGCGCGCGGCGATGCGGCAGACTTTGACATTAGCGGCGACAACGATGCCAGCAACTTCCTCGACCGTGAACGCGCGCTTCTTGGCGACGATGCCGACCAGTTTGCTTCGGAAAACGACAGGGCAGCGACGGTCGAGGACGGTGACGACGACCTGCTTGGGGGAGACTTCAGCCAGGCCAACGTTGGCGGTCAGGAGATGAGCGGCTTCGAGAGCTCCTTCCCCGCCATTGACACCACCAACGACGTAAGCACGCCTGCTTCTTTAGTCAAGGCATGGTTGCGATCTGGCATGTTCAAAAGTGACGCGCCAGTCCAGACCTGAACTGAGCATGGGATAACCAACGTCACGACGGTATACTGACTCCAACAGCACATGGCTCCCGGTGGCACCATCACAGGATCAGGCCTGCCCTTCCTCCCCGGCCAACCCGCCCCATCCTTCACCCCACAGCGCTCAGACTCGCCCGAGCCCGACGTCATCCGCGAATGGCGCGAGCGCCGCGACCTCCAGATCCAGCACCGCGACGAGGTATCACACGACCGCAAACAGAAAACCATCCAGGAGGCGCAGCAAAACATTGACGACTTCTACGAGAACTACAACAACAAGAAGGACAAGGAGATTGCCAAGACACGGAAGGAGGCTGAGGAGTTCCTTGCAAACCGCGATGACACCACCGCGGGCGGTACGAGCTGGGAGCGCATTGCCAAGTTGGTCGATCTGAGCGGAAAGGGTACCAAGGGTGGCGCGTCAGGCAGCGAGAAGGCCCGCTTCCGGGAATTGCTGCTCAGTCTGAAGAAGGACGAGAAGGCACCGGGTGCGACTGGATACTAGACGGAACGACGACATGGGTAGATGGCTATCTTTTTTGGAGCTCAGGGCAATGGTTTGGCATACGAATGAGCGTGTCTACGGCCATAAAACTTGGAGTTCACGGATCAGGTTGCAGGGTACTTCATGCAGCTGTGTTAATACTTACTCTCTGATTGCCTACCATTGCTTGTGGTTTTCAGTCATCAGTCATCAGCACGAGGATCGTCGAGCAAGCACTTGATATTTGCTAATGTGGTATATAGGCAGTGAGATGTTGACCCTGGACATCTAGCATTCAGCAGTGTCGACCATCACTAATGGATTCTCCACTAGAAACAGAGCTAAGTGCTGCCTTGAGAACCCATAATACCCCCGATTGTGCCATCCGGTACAGTGATCGCATAACTGGATCTGAATACCGCTTTCGCACCCACAGGCATGTTCTCTGCGCTAACTCGGTGACTCTCGAAAGAAAGTTCGACTCCGGAGAATACGTAAGTCAATATAACGCCTACTCACCACCCACTCCTGTTTAGGGCTATGTAACCATTGCGTTCTCTAAATTGCTCCAGAAAGTTGGATCTATCATCACTATCCCTCCTGGAAACGTACAAGCCGTCGAAGATATGCTACGCTTCTTTTACCTCCAGACCTACAATCCGCGTCTTCTGCCCTCAGCCCCCATGTCTATGATGCAAGCACAAAAGCGGCAAGCGGCTCACCACGTTGCCGTCTACGATCTCGCACGTCAAAAGAGTTATGGTGTTAGTGGTCTATCTGGACGTGCTCATAGGGCGTTCCAGAATGGCGCTGATGGCGCTCTGGCCTGGCTGGACCAACCGGCAAACAACACGGCAAAGAACGCTGTGAGACTGCTCCGCATGTATGTCAACCTGATCTACGAGAACGATGGCGCAACTTGGGAGGTCTTTCAGGGCCAAGATATACCGGATATGATCACGTTCTGGCCTTTGAGAGGTCTAGTCTGCGAAACCGCGGCTAGGATATGGGTCAGAGCACAGCAATGGAACGCGACGCCGGCTGTTGGTCAAGCTGCGGTCCAAGGAGAAGAAGAAGTTGAAATTGATGCCGGGGACACAGGTGAGGATGTTGTGAAGAAAGAGCTCGCGAAGTTGTGCTGGAAGTATGCGCATTTCGCACAGGACTTTGCAAGGTGGATGTTAATCAAGGGAGAGGTAAGTATCACATTGGGCCACAATGTCATGGGAAGGATTAGATAGATGGTAGAGGTAGGCGGATTCGCGCTTCTAGAGTATCTAGGTACATTAGAATAGCAATAGGCACCTAGACACTCGACGCAACAATAACTATCTGATACAAATCCAAACAAGCAAAGAAAAATCGCGACTTTCGCAGGATTCCCATCCCCACGGTCCAGCCAAAGCCAAGCCCTTGACCAGCCCATCGCAATCTAACCACGGCGCCATCACCAAACGCTCCCCAACCCCGCGGGCCGCATCGCAACAGTCCCGCAGCACAAACAATCTAAACTCGTTCGACAAGGCCATGTAAAGTGTGCATCGTGACACCACGTCGACCGGCAACCCGGCTTTCCTCTACATAACGACTATATTAATTTCTCCGAGGTGCAGGATGGGTCTTCCCTGGTACGGTACTTGGGTAAACGAACATCCGCAATCACGTGGCAGATGCCCAGGTGCAATATCGAATCTGAGACAACCACCAAGAACCATCTAGCTGGTGTCCACCAATTGCGTGAATCGCAAGCGTAGGTTGATTATTGAACATGTTCTGTGCGTCATGTTTCACAAAAAAAGGTCGAGACGCGACTTTACCTAGGTAAACTTTCACCCACGAACCGCCCTGTGACGGCGCAACACCAACGCAGAACACGACCGTTCACCTTCTTGAACAGCGTATGATGGCATTCAATAGAAAGATGACGTCTGACAAGAGAAACCACCATCAACTCATTTCGCTTACCTCCTCCAAGTTCCCTCAACGGGCCCAACGGCTCCTTCCAGCCTGATCCAGCCACGCCCGGCAGCCTCATAGGGGAAACAGTGGAGCCGCCCAAGGCCTCGCTAGCGCGCCTTGATTAATCTACGCACCCTCCTTTCATGATCGCCCTCCAGCATGTGGCCATCGCCATGGCAAGCCAGTGCAAGTTTCAAACAATCATCTCGATGCTTGGTGCCTTGGATCGAATCCCATGGTGACGCAACTGCGCTCCTGTGTCGTGGAGTAATTACCAGCCGGGCACTACTATAAGACATGCAGCTACCTCTGTCAATCTATATTTTCGGCATCTAGGTCACTCGGTACCGGTCGTCTGTCTAACTCCCTCGTCGTCTATTCACTCGTTTTCTTGTGTTGTTCAAACTTATAAGTCGCTCTCTTTGTTCTCTCCATCTTCGGATTATCAGCACGCTCGATACGCAGGATCGTATCTTCAAAGCAGCAACACCTACAATCTTCCTTTCTTTGATACCCCCGAATTTATCGAATCGACTCTACCATCTTCTTCAAAATGAAGTACATCACCTCCGCCCTCGCCTTCGCTACCGCCGTCGCCGCCCACGGCTACGTCAACAATGCCACCATTGGCGGCAAAGAATACATCTTCTACCAGCCATACCAGGACCCTTACATGACGGACGTGAAGCGCATCTCGCGACCGATCCAGGGTAACGGTCCCGTCGAGGACGTCGCCATCTCCGATATCCAATGCGGTGGCTACGCAGCCGGCGGTATCAACGGCTCCAAGCCCGCTGCTCTGCACGCCGAGGCCGCAGCAGGTTCAGACGTCGAGCTCTACTGGACGCTCTGGCCCGAGAGCCATATGGGACCTACCATCACATACATGGCCAAGTGTCCCGATGCCGGATGCAATGACTGGATGCCTGAGTCAGCGTAAGTCACCCACCTGACCTATTATCCACCACCATGATATTAACACACCCACCAGTGCAGTCTGGTTCAAAGTCCAAGAAGACGGCCGCCAAGGCACCTCTGACGTCTGGGGCTCCGACGCCCTCCAAGTCCCCGGCGGCTCCGTCACATACACCATCCCCAAGTGCATCGCACCAGGCTACTACCTCGTGCGTCATGAAATCGTTGCGCTGCACGCTGCCTACCAGTACCCTGGTGCGCAGTTCTATCCTGGGTGCCATCAGCTCAAGGTTACCGGAGGTGGATCTACCAAGCCGAGTGGGCTTGTTGGTTTCCCCGGTGCGTACAAGGGTAGCGATGCCGGTATCACTTATGACGCCTACAAGGCGGCTACTTACACTATTCCTGGTCCCAAGAAGTTTACTTGTTAGCTGGGGATGAAGGTTGCTGGGAACTCTGAGATGGGACCCAGGTTTAAGTACCCTGAAATGGGTTACGATACGCTTCTTTTGTATATATTCGCAGTCGTATATAGCTCTCGTCATGAATGGATTGCTGCATCACTCTTGGAAGTACTTGTATCTGTTTGTTTTGCCTCGTGTCGTGCTTTGTATCGTGCCGCCTAGTTCGTCTACGTCGTAAAATTGTTTGCGAGGTCATAACTTCCATCGAAAAGATCTAATTTTGTTGACGGTTGCGCAGATACTTCATCAATCGTATTGAATAGCTGATCTGTCAAAGATTGTTCGCATGTGTAATTTCCGTTGCTGCACTGCGATGCTTACAACAGCCGTGCGGTTGCTCGATGCGCTGGTGATGTAAGCGTCGCAAAACGCATATTATCGTATCCAATGTGTCGAATGCCGGTGGTACAATGGGGCCAGCGTCTGTATTGCTATAACGATTGTCCCGGTGTTGCGATGCAGTCATGCCGCTGCTGAGTAAATACAGTGTTTTGGTGGCCGCAATGTAGAGTCCTCTTCAATTCTCTGTATTCATGGTATGCCATCGAAAATGTTGGCAAGCGTACCAGGCCAGTGGTTACCATGCGCGGTGCACTCCCATGGCGGTGCCAGTACAGCTCTCCTCGAATTTCGCTGTGGTCATCCTATCTCGCCATCTGTGCCGCGGACGTCTAACAGCTCTTTCTTTTTCCTGACGGCGACAACTTCCTTGATTCCATCTCATTCACTCCGCGGAGGCATGGCAGTTCCTTTTATCCTGGATGTGGGCTCAGAAATCTGGTCAGATGAACAATCATCTCGGGCCTTCTCTGGTGCTTTTGCGCGTGGAGGGGAAGCGTTCTCACTTCCCCGTCAGCCATATATCCGCCACCCTTACGTGTCCGGGCCTGATTCGCACTAAAGGTCTGCATCTTTCATCTGATTGTCAGGCACCTCGGTTGTGCATCTTTCTCAGATGTGTGTACCAGACCACGTGCGATCAAGCTTATCACGGTACTGACGGGAGCAAAGCCTATCTGGGCTACCAGTATGCGATGCTCTTGGATTGGTTGCATCGTTTTGATTCTGCATTGTCGATGTCGGCCTTACCTCGTACTATGAATTCGAGGGTGTGAGCAACAGCGCTTGTAGATGACTGCAAGCGGTAGCGCTCTGTACGATCGGTGAGGTCTGATCAGCGCCGTGTGTTGTCGCATCTGCGAAGACGCCTCGAGGTCAGCGAAGCCTCAAAGCCGTATCTTGGTGTTGAACGTGGCTAGTAACTTTTTCGAAGAACTTGGGGAAGAGCGCCACTTTCCGGTCAGTCTAGACAAGATATGTTCAGCTACTATATTGTAAATGGCACACCGTCTGGAGGTGGAAGCAGCCCAGCATGGGCTTGCGCCAGTCTAAGTGCCAGGCTGATCGCCGGCCCTAACGGACGGGTCCGCACATGGCTTCGGCACTATTTCGAAACCGCCGAAAGGAAGAGGTATCTTCTGGAAAAGATCAGAGATGTCAGGTTCGCTTGGAGAAACGAAACGAGTCAGAAATGCCCGGGCAAAAGGCGCATGGCGTAGATGAAGCAGGAACCATTCTGACGTCCTTTCTCCGAAATGTCGGCGATGCTTTGAAAAGGCAACTGCTAATGCGATTGCGGTTGGAATCGCGGTCAAGATGATGTGAAGAGCAAGCGGTAGTCCAAGGGCTTGCGCTGCAGCTAGTAATGCGATGATGCCCACAGTGGACCCTCGACGCCGCTTCTGCTCCTTCCCCGACTCACATCTGCGCCGTCCAAGCTAACCTTTGAGTGCTAACACGACCGACAGCCCGAAACAACATGACGATGCACCCATGTCGTCTGTGATGATCGATGAGGCAGCTGCAAGCGATATCGGTATATTTCCTCACAGACGCTTGCGAGGATCTTCATCTTACGACGCATCGTCTTCCGTCGTAGCCGTGAACGCTTGGTGAATGTTAAGTAACCAGGGTTTCTGGTAATTTGTCCAACGGCTCTGCTTCGTGCTCAACTCCGTGCCAGACGGACTTCGTCGAACAGGAAGACCCTGGAACTAGTCGAGGGGTGAATAGCCGCGAGCTTCCACCGCTCTTTCGGATCTTGCCAACACCTCTAGACGTCTAGCGAGTATTTCAAGTCCTGGCCTTGGTACCATCATCATGATCACCTGGCCATGTGCATACTTAGGCGACGCTCCTAATCCATGCTTCGTCGTGGCTGGTTGCAGAAAGACGATCCGTGCTGCTGTTTAAATCGGGTCACTGAAGATATGTGGCGCGCACCAAGGCGTGCAACTAAGCACGGTTTGAGAGTGCAAGAGGCCCAGCGCAATGGTAATGAAAAGCAAATCTCCGTGGGCGATCTGGTCGGGTTCGTGTTACATGTGCATTGGTTATTGCGACGCCCTGTGGTGTGCGGCAGGCGTGTATCGCTTATGCTACTCGTCTAGGCAGGATGACACAGCGCGGGACTGATCTCATGATAAGCTGTCGACGAGACTCCCGTTCTCAAAGTATATTGTCGAATATACGAATCCCGAGTAAATCATGGCCGACGTTTCAGTCGAGAGTCAGGGATCAAGGTTCCGGATCAAAGCTCCCGCCGCGGTTCATGGAGCGACTCCGAAGTCTGCGTTCCGTAAGAGCCCAGCCAGAAGCTTACAAAATTCCCTGATATCATGCTCGTCAGACTGATCCTCGGCGAGCGTACGTCGTATCAAAATAGCCGCGCGGACCAATAGAGATCTTCCTCCTCACCGCCTGGACGAAGTTTTCTTACGAACAGTCAGGGGGTACCGGTTACAGGTAGACCGTAGTAACACCCGAGTCGTACCGCTCGTGAGCTCACGCAAGGCAAGCCGCACTTCCATCTGCGTGCGTCATAGCTCCAAAGAATGTGTTAGACCGCGGCAGTTTCCTGCCCGGACATTGGGTAAGGGCTCCTCGCTGCGCTGCGGCGCGTTGAGTAATCTAAGGTGCCTCGCGACACATCGGCTAAACGTCGACAGCCAGCGATCAAGAAGCTCATCCATGCCGCTTCGACAGGCGTCACAAGCGTCTCATGAGGTGGGTTACATATTGTTCCCAGGGCTGAGTATACCCCAGTCAGAAATGCAGAATAAACGGCCCGCCACCTTGGGTCGCCGAAGCGGCACCACTCTTCTTGGCCCCAGCACGCTACTTCCTTCAAACGTT